ATATGTAAGCTTTTCTTTAAATATTTTAAGACATTTTGGTGGGAGAGGATATTTGCGGCCTCAAAATCATAGTGGTTAGTCTTTCATGTGATCATCTATTCCCCTGTTGGAGAATTATTATTTTTTTCAAAGTGAACAAAATGTTGGCTGTTTCACTGCAGACAGGTTTGTTGTAGTAGTTTTTAATCTGTCTGCAGCGAAACAGCCAACATTTCGTTCACTTTGAAAAAAAATATTTTCTCCAATGGGAGAATAGATGACCTCATAAAGGACCAACTATTATGATTTTGAGGCTGCAAACTTTTTGTTGTTGTTCTTGTTTAGTCGCTAAGTCATGTCCGACTCTTCGTGATCCCATGGACCAGAGCCAAACCATAGCTTTGACTATGCGGACCTTTGTAGGCAAGTTGATGTCTCTACTTTTTAAGATGCTGTCTAGGTATGTTGAGCTTCAGACCATTTTTTGCACTCACCTCTTTCACCCTCTTTAAGGGGTTCTTTAATTCCTCCTCACTTTCTGCCATCTGAGTGGTATCTTCTGTATATCTGAGGTTGTTGATATTTCTTCCAGCAATCTTAGTTCCGGCTTGGGATTCATCCAGTCCGGCCTTTCACATGATGTGTTCTGCATATAAGTTAAATAAGCAGGGAGACAATACACAGCCTTGTCGTACTCCTTTCCCAATTTTGAACCAATCAATTGTTACGTATCTAGTTCTAACTGTTGCTTCCTGTCCAACATATAGATTTCTCAGGAGATAGATAAGGTGGTCAGGCAGTCCCATTTCTTTAAGAACTTGCCAAAGTTTGCTGTGGCCCACAAAGTCAAAGGCTTTTGCGTAGTCAATGAAGCAGATGTTTTTCTGGAACACTCTGGCTTTCTCCAGAATCCCGTGCATGTTAGTAATTTGGTCTCTAGTTCCTCTGTCCCTTCAAAATCCAGCTTCTACTTCTGGGAGTTCTCGGTCCACACAATGCTGAAGCCTACCTTGTAGGATTTTGAGCATAACCTTGTTAACGTGTGAAATGAGTGCAATTTTATGGTAATTGGAGCATTCTTTGGCACTGCTGTTCTTTGAGACTGAAATGTAGACTGATTTTTTCCAATTCTCTGGCCACTGCTGAGTTTTCCAAACTTGCTGGCATATTGAGTGTAGCACCTTAACAGTCTCATCTTTTAAGATTTTAAATAGTTTCACTGGAATGCCATCCCCTCCACTAGCCTTGTTGTTAGCCATGCTAAGGCCCACTTGACTTCACTCTCCAGGATGTCTGGCTCAAGGTCAGCAACCACACTATCTGGGTTGTTCGGGACATCTAGATCTTT